TACTACATATCTACATATATATATATATGTATGTATATAAATATATGAAACTACCTACCTTGAAGAACGTCAGTGGCACGGCGTGTGCGTCTAGATCAGAGGCTTGACGAAGACTCTCTTCGGCTTCGGTCGTATGCCCAGTCAAGAGATTCAACCACGTCAATCGAATAAGGGAGACCTGAAAACAGGACAAACCAAAACCAAGAATTGGAAGACGCCCCACATTTGTATTGAAGGGCATATCAATGCAAACGCGATGCGCGATACGCACAGTAATCTTAGGCCTTTATCTTCTGTGTTTCCAGGATAGTGCCATCCCTTAACAGTTCAGTGTTCAACGACAGGTTGGCGCACGACTAGCTCGTAACAAACTGTGAGCACTGCTAAATGCCTTACAACAGAGGCACCACAAGTAAGCGCGTGAATGAAATTATACACGCCAAACAGGCCACGCAATCTGACAACAGGTGTGAAAAGCAATGGAACATACTGTGTGATGTTCTACGATCTAACTAGACTATCATGAAGGTATAGGCATGTGAATGATACAACAACAGACTTGCGATCTAAGCCAGACTAGCATGAAGGCACATTTATGTGAATGCTACAACCACGGAGCTTATCATACCATACGCGTTTGTAGATACCACCCTGTTAACCAACTGTTACATCACAGCTGCGATGACATGGTGAGGGCATACACAGTGCGACACATGCGAGCATGCACGAGGAGTCAGGGGAAAGCTCAGTAGTGTAATCCGTACGTACACACAGCTTACCAATTGCATCGTACTACCCAGGCCCACACTCTCAGCCGCGGCCGCAGCCTGTTGCATGCACAGGCGCGAGCCCTGTGTTTTACCTACACTACTCAAGAGATCACCCAGCGACAACCACAGCGCGCTGGGCTCGACTGAGGCTGATATGGCTGTTCGGAGGTGCCGTATGGCGAGTTCTACATCGCCAGTTTTACACCTGAACGCAGAAGGTTGTGAACGAGACCGTAGTCGGATAACGTGTGACTCTTGCTACAAAAATAGGGTGTGTATAAATGGGTGTGTTTATGGTAACACGCTGTCGTACTCAGTAGACCAGCGGTATTACAAGTATCACACTGAGACAAGGAGAAGTAGCAGCAAAGTACACATAGATCTTGCACTAGACGGTGCCTATTTCAGGTGTGGGTGCACAAGAAACAGCAAAGTACACATACATATTGTACTAGACATTGCATCTTTCAAGTGTAGGTGCACAAATTGTAAGATACATATATATCTTGTACTAGACATTGCATCATTCAGGTGTGGGTGCACAAATTTTAAAATACATATATATCTTGTACTAGACATTGCATCATTCAGGTGTGGGTGCACAAATTTTAAAATACATATATATCTTGTACTAGACATTGCATCGTTCAGGTGTGGGTGAACAAATTTTAAAATACATATATATATCTTGTACTAGACATTGCATCATTCAGGTGTGGGTGCATAAATTTTAAAATACATATATATCTTGTACTAGACATTGCATCATTCAGGTGTGGGTGCAGTCTTCGTACGACTCCGTGACAGGGCCTGAGTATTATACGGCCAATCAGAAACTTCCATTATGTAACACCACAGTAACCTGACTCATAACAACAGCCAATCCACACCGCTCGCCCTCCCACTACTAGAATGACTAACACTCTAACCAATCCTATCTCTCCGCATCACCACACACACCTTATCGCATGCAGCCTCGCCAACAAATGCAGCCACACTACGCGGCCGGTATCATCTGCCTGGTAGCCGTTGAGACTTTCGACTGCCAGGCCCATAGCCATATCAAGGTACGCGTTGGGTTCCTTCGCATCCGTTGGTGTATCCTTGTCCTCTGTGTGAGATGTTGGGCTCGTCTCAGCCTCACCGAGGAGTAAGAGACACTCGCACATAGCCAATGAGGCCCATCGCGTGGTGGCGATGAGTTGGGCTGCCTGTGTGCGGATTTGTACGGCCGGTGCGTTCGCTGTATCGAACAGATAATACATAGATATGAGCATATAAAATAAATAAATAAATAAATATTTATAAATATTTATATATACTATATATATATATATATATATATATATAAACTGACCACCCACCACCCACCAACATACCATAAAGCAATAGCACACAACACATGTAGCTCTACAAACAACTGTTAAGAACCCCCACCAACATACCAGAACGGGCGATGAGGTCAGCCTCCATGTCTTTGGAGCGGACGCGGACATAGTCGCACAAGTGCAGTGCCAGGTTGAGCTTTACTGTGTAGCCGTGTCGAACACTGGAGTCCTCTCGTAGCGTATCTACACACGCACTCGACAGGGCTGTGTGCAACAGACCGCCTGCGAGCGCCGCCCAGGCATTGAGCGATGTTGGATCCCTGAACACGGCGGCCTGGGCTATTGAGACAGTGAAAGCAAGTGGTTTAAGTTAATGTATTGAATGGTCGTGTCAACTGGATACGACAGCCTGAGCTATGAGAAAGTGAAAGCAGGTGGACTAAGTTAATGTATTGAATGGTCGTGTCAACTGAACTACAGCCTAAGTCACACACACAGTGCACGTGCTCACCTTTGCGATGGGTCACGTGTATGCTTTGTGGCCCTGGAGAGGTACAGTGCAACTACAGTCTAAGTCACACACACAGTGAACGAGTTTACTTTTGCGATGGGCCACGTGTATGCTCTGTGGCCCTGGAGAGGTACAGTGCAACTACAGGTTAGGTCACACACACAGTGCACGTGCTCACCTTTGCGATGGGCCACGTGTATGCTCTGTGGCCCTGGAGAGGTACAGTGCAACTACAGTCTAAGTCACATACACAGTGCAACTACAGTCTAAGTCTCACACACAGTGCACGTGCTCACCTTTGCGATGGGCCAAGTGTATGCTCTGTGGCCCTGGAGAGGTACACTGCAACTACAGCCCAAGTCACACACACAGTGCAACTACAGTCTAAGTCACACACACAGTACACGTGCTTACCTTTGCGATGGGCCACGTGTATGCTCTGAGGCCCTGGAGTGGTGCCTGACAGTGTGAGCGCACTGGAGTACACAGAGAGCAACTCGGCCACATCGGTCGCTGGATAACTGGAGACTATGATGGCGCGTGCAGGAGAAGGGAGAAGCACTGTAAGCCAGGCTGTGTGTGCTTAAGAGGCATATATCATGGGTAGGTATGGTTGTGTGTGATGCATTGAGAAGCCCTGTAAGCCAGGCTGTGTGTGCTTGAGGGGCATATATCATGGGTAAGTATGGTTGTGTGTGATGTATTGAGAAGCACTGTAAGCCAGGCTGTGTGTGCTTGAGGGGCATATATCATGGGTAAGTATGGTTGTGTGTGATGCAATGAGAAGCACTGTAAGCCAGGCTGTGTGTGCTTGAGGGGCATATATCATGGGTAAGTATGGTTGTGTGTGATGCATTGAGAAGCACTGTAAGCCAGGCTGTGTGTGCCTGAGGGGCATATATCATGGGTAGGTATGATTGTGTGTGATGCATTGAGAAGTACTGTAAGCCAGGCTGTGTGTGCTTGAGGGGCATATATCATGGGTAGGTATGGTTGTGTGTGATGCATTGAGAAGTACTGTAAGCCAGGCTGTGCGTGCTTGAGGGGCATATACCATGGGTAAATATGGCTGTGTGTGATGCATGTATGAGGTCCGCAGGAGAAAAGCAGTACTTATACCAGATAGTACCAGATAGATCAGCCAGTCCGCTGATGGACGCGACTCTCTCGTCTCCCGCGCCGCGCCCGCGCACGCATACGCGGCACTACGACACACTGGGCTATGGTTGTGGAGACCCGATTGAACAATTCGACAAGGCACGAGAGGGCGGACTACAATTGCATGCAAAATATACACACACCTTTGCAAAAGACTACATTACGTTTACAAACGGAATAGACATTTGTGCGAAAGACCACGACGCAACTGAAACGCATCTCCATTATCAATGGAACCATGAGGTGCGCTAGGCGCATGGCATGCCACCTTCGACCGACTGTCGCCTGCGCCACTTAGATTGCGTGCGGGCGTATTGCGTACAAACTTGAGCGTGTATCAATGTACAAAGAGTTAAGACGACCCCACCCGACTATATATACTAGTCACATACGGTCACTCCACTAAAGATCTATAGTGTCGGCTTCAACGTCCATCCAGGTGGTAATTATATTACAAAGCCTGCAACGCAATTGTCCACATAGTACGAGTACTGTTAGTTTCGTAGTTTTTGTTCTGTTATGGATAACTCACCTCTCATCACATCCCATGCATTCTTATACATGGCCATGGGTAGACTAGGATGAGACTTCAGTGACCTCCGTATGTACGTGGCTGCCATTCCCCAGGCCTCGGGCGAGTAAGCGCCGTGATCATGCACATTCCGCGTCAGAGCGCGACAAGCTCTCGTGCTGTCACCCTATATATATATACATAATATACATATATATATATATGGTAGAGTAGTTGGTGGATCATGAAAACGGAAAATTGAGAATAATTGTCAATATGAAGTAGATAGAAGAATTGCTATTTGCACATATTTGCATTGGTATGCTATCTAGAAGAAGTTCGACGGTCGCTGATTATCACGTCGGAAGTGCACCCATCTGAGGTATCGAAGCGTGGCGCAGGACCCCATGATTTCCCCCCTTCTGCTAGCCCCACGTTTGCAGGACATTACAATATATATATATATATATATACATATACATATACATATACATATACATATACATACATATATCTGTATATTATATATATATGTATATTATATATATATAATATATAT